ATCTTCTTGCTCCTCGGCGTCTCTTTCTCATCGTGTTTCATCCGAATCTGTTATAGCTCATGCTCTGTTATTTTATTTGCTTCTTGTACTTCACATTATCATCATATTCTCATCACTGTCACTAACAGCACTTGCATCATCTCATTTCATCGCATCCACCTCTATACTACTAGCATTTCAGTTTAAAATATATACGATATACGTACGCACTTTTATTAAGCTCAATCTGATACAAGTTTTTTCGAATGCCAGAGAAACTATCACGACCGCTTGTTTCGGTTAGAGTGAAAAAAAAAACTGATGTGATACTTTTGACAATCAGTGCCACGTACTGCGTCTGTGGCGATGAAATGACAGGGCGCTCGAATGCCACGTAGCTTAGGCAACTTGCAACGAGGCGCGCCCACTGTTAGCGGTCACACCGGCAACGATTGTGTGAGTCAATGGTCGTCACATTCACGAATGAGTTCAGACTCGGATAAGGCTCCCGGAATTTCCGTACAGATCGAAATCAATGGACGATAGCTACCGTTCACCACATTGAGCTTGACTAACTTGACTCGTCCGCGTCATTGGCGCCGCTACCGACCGGTGACCAGACCAAGACTTGCCAACCGGATAGTGCCACATGCATAAGAATCCAACACCGGCACTTTCACTGACTCTATAAGCCAAGTGTGATCAAGTGATCTGGCAATCTATACTAAAAGAAACACTTGTGTAAGAAGTCCCGCCGGTGTCGCCCAACAATGACACTTCCCGCACTAGACGCGATATCTATTGAAGTCGGAAACTTAGCCATTCCATCCACCGGGTGAGTCAGCAAGAATTGTCCTACATATGTACTCATCTTCGATCGCAGCCACCTTGCGTCCGCGTCATGGATGATTTTGTAGTTTCCGAGTCCCGAACAGCGACCTTGATCATCCAATCAGGTGAGTCTTTTATTCAATCTATTATATGTAAGTACATATTTCTCTTTGCGGGATTGTACGAGATGCAATACTGTGCCCTGGGTCGGTAACGCAGCAGACTTGGCATCGTACGACGGTACGACGAGTGGAGAAACCTGGGTAGGTAATACATTCTGTATCTCTATTTAATCATTCACATGCTCAACTAAGTAGTATCGTGAAGACAACCCCACTTCGTAGTCCGTTCCCCAGTGTTCTTGATTCGTCGAGTTCAGGTAATCATATACGTGATCTAGGATCAACGAAAGCGCGATGGAAATGGATGGACTACTCTAGTGAGATGCAAACTTTTCCATGCTTCGTGGAAATCGAGAATCTACCAACTATGGTGGTGCCAGCTTCGGCCAGCTCGTTCGTGGTGGATTATGCTACTAGTAAGTACAGGTTGGTTATACTTTCAGATTTTCGAGACTGAGGAGCTCCGTTCAGCTTGTCAGGCCCTAGGCGAAATGCTCCGACTCTCCGTATCGGCATGTTCTGCCGGCTGTCATATTCTCAAGCCGGGTCTCGAATTTCGATAGCAATCATATCACATCACCCACTAGACTACCACTCGCGGGAGTGCTTTTTGACTAAGGTTTCGTCAATCATGACGAGGATGCACGACAGTTAGTATGTACGGCAACCCTACCCCACTACTGTCCTTGTCCAATTGACTTGTACACCCTGTACCAAGTGTATCATGTAGGGCCTGGACCCAAGCTATTTTTGTTACTTGTGCTCCCATACTCTTGTCTGATATGTAAGTGGATAGATGCATCCAAAAATATAGTTTTTTTTTCAAAAACTTGAGCTTAGCGTCATGCAGACAATTCGCCCCGCATAACTCCCGCGATACGGATGAGAACGACTCGGACCTTCGGAGCAGGGGTCCGATATGGAGAAGCTGTAAGCAACTTCTGTTTTTCCATTCCGGCACTTCTTCTGCACTTCCCGTTTTCAGCGCGAGAGCTGCGGCAGCAGCCTCATGCATGCTGAAGTCTGGTGGTTGGTATGTCACTCTTCTGAAATCTGGCTGCTTCCCATCAATGAACGTACGACAGTTGCATCATGATGCCGGTCGCTTGTGACAGGCATGGTGTGGCGAGTTCTTTGATACATGAATTATGTGATAGGCGCTGACTTTTTTGAATGGTTAGTGGCTGACATGTTGATGCATGAACGCACTGCCCAACACATTCATGGATAGGTGTGCTAGGTAGCATTCGTCTGGTATGCATAGCGCCTGAAGAACCACTCATTTCATGACAGATGTATCACACTTAGTCTTATACTATTCTGTTGAAGCCTATCACTGTTCACTCGTTTCTTCAGCTGATCGCTTGGAGACTTGGGAGTAGTACGGATCCAACCATCATGGAGTCGTTACACTTCTTTCGTCATTCATTTTACTTTCACAACTCCACGGTCCAGGCGCATCGCTTTTGGCAGTAGGTGTGTGTAGAAGCTTCAAAATTATCAAACTTTATGCCACCAGTTATTCAGAATTATAGATAAGATAAGATCGAAATGCGCAATTCCACCTCCAAATTAGGCGTTATTTGGGCCCGTGCCTGGCGCCAGATGTATCAATTCGGCTCGATCGGGGCGGAGTGTGCTTCTACTAAGGAGAATCGCTTGGATAGATTTTGACAGAGATAAGCACACGGGATGAACAGCTAACCGCCGGAGGCGGCATACTATGAACTGATGAAAGGGATGAGCTAAGACTTGTAATGAGAAACTGGGTGAGGGTGAGTAGTTTAAGTATATCGTAATTGTAACAGATAGAATCGGAAAGCGAAGTAACTAACGTCAGATAACGTCACGGACTAGATGAGGGAGAGAAAGGAGGGTGAGCATACGCTCTATGGAAGTACAAGAATAATTATGGAGTGAGCGAGCCGGGCTGTGCGGGAATCGAGCTTGGCTTACAAGGTGAGACACTTTCTGTAAATGTCAAATGACGAGAGACAACAAGTGTTAAAGTTCTGGGGTGAGAGGTATGCTATAGTACCATCCGAGTGACTATGTCAAATCTCACTTGTTTGAGAGAAACAGGGATACAAAGGCCTTGCTCTGCGAAGGGGATGGGTGAGCCCGGGCCAAGTGAGAGAGCGACAGAGCGGCTCAACCGCGAATGGAGAATGCAGCGAGGATGCACAGATTTTTTCTTTTTTGATGTTGACCTTTAGTTCTACCGTCCGCCACCAGCTTTTGCCAAACATTGGTACTAGACAGTATTGGACCGCTGACGACTTCGGCTTTGAAATGAGCAGCGGTAAGGGGAAAGAAAAGTGATCGGAGTGACGTAGCATGCGTTACATAACCCGCAGAGGCTCCTGGAACCCGCCTTTACGTCGAATTTCAATGCCATGAAATCGGCGACGGTTCAGCTCGCCCAGAGATTCGCATGTTAATCCTAAACATCTTCATCTTACATTTCGGAAAACGAGGTCGTCTCATTTATGCTAAAGTGAGTCGGATCTGTGAATTGAATTGGATAAACTCGGCGAAACGCAGGTCGTCCGGGACCGTTGAGTTCAGAGCTTTGTTGCATTGAAATAGCGCCCGGACCAGGCTTAATCCGACCTTTTGCCTGGTCACTCTTAGTTCGATGACGGGCCCAACAAATCGGTTTCATTCAGTGTCCACGATAGTCACTTCAGCCCCAGTAAACGCCTTGATAGTTGCTCTTCTTCGTCTGCTCATTTGGACATGCGGTTACTTCACATCGACCGATACTTACTTCAGCTGCGTCGATATCGTGGGAGAAGCTCCAAAGACTCTGGAGGTGATCATTGCAACACACGCGTTTGTGTCTAGCCTTCCTACATACTTGCAAAACTCAGCCATACCAACTGCGAGGCTGAATTTGGGATGAGCTCGAATTTCGGGTTGACTGTGACGTAAGTAAATCCAAGTCTTTCACAAAAATTCTTGTTTTTGGTAAAATCTCCGAGTTCAACACGGACATGACACTCCTCTCCGCGATTGTTGTATTTCCAACAGTTTTCGGTATCAAATGGCGCAGAATGGTCATGGTTACGGGCGCCAATGGTCCAAACCCAGCACGAAACACCTATACATAAGCTAGCTGGCAGCTGACGTTGGCAAAACTCGACGCCGATAGATTGGGATATGTGCCTTTGTTAGATCCGGGGTCGCGTACCTCCGGATTATTGGGCGCCAGCAGTTCCTCGTCCTCGTTTCGTTCTATTATTCCAACATTCACAGGTATTCATATCATGTTGCATATGCTATCGATGTGTTGGAACCCGCATGTACCGCAATGATCGAGTCATGTGTAGAAACAGGTACTCATATCATCTTTCTGCATATGCTAACGCTGTGTTGGAGTCGGAATGTACCGCAACGATCGAGTCATGTGTAAAATTACTTCAAGCCGTTTATGTCATGGCCATATTCCAAACGACATCGTTGACCTGTCAGAAGCAGCAATGACTTGGCTGGTAATAGGCTTGTACTTGCTCATATTTTTTTAGAACAAGTGGTCATCAGTGATCGACCCCAGCCGCTTGCTCATGAGGTATGTGAATAGGCTTTTATGATTTCCACTTAAATAATTCTCATTTAAACGCAGTTTTTGCCATGAAAACTTCTAACTTCATCCAAAAACTTACCGTACACAGTATATCGTCGTTTATGGCCGTAAACCCATTGTACCCTACCGTCGAAGGTCTAAGATTCTTCCATACTGCACTAGTAAGCGTTATTTCACCGTAAACATACAGACGTGTGCCGTACACGGATGGTGTGTACCCCAAGCACTCTAGTTTTGGTCAAGCTCCGAGTTTTCCGTCGACAACCATGTTCAGCATGTCCGCGTGCGAATGGTAACCATACTGTATTCTATGTTTCCACATTAAGACTCAAATCAGTAGAATTTTCTTATATTTAGATCCCGTTATGGACCTCACGGTGAATTCATTTACAATGATTCCAATTTTACTTTTATTCCAATTTTGTTTTTGCTGATGGGAGTCGCAGTGATCTAGATGTGCTGGTTGAGTAGACTTCATTAAGGCCCGCCTAGCTCAATCGGCCAGAGCGTCAGACTTTTAAGAAGGCGGTGATCTTCTGAGTTATCTGAAGGCTGCGAGTTCGACCCTCGCGGTGGGCTATTTCTTGGTTTTGGATTAACGTTTTTGTTATCACGTAAAACATTTGATTTCTTTGAGTGTATACAAAATTAGGCCAAAAAATGCTAGATCCAGATACCCTTACAGATTTCAATGGTTTTTAGGGTGGAAGCTATATTATTTCCATCTCAAAATGACCCTCTGGCATCCATACAAAGTTCACAAATTTTGACCTTTGGAATCAGCCTTGCTAGGGGATAATCCAGAGGTCCTTGTTTCCATTATTCTGCTGCATCTCAGATAGCTCCAGAGTATATCAAGGAAAAAATCATGAAGAAGTATATTTCAATACCTTGAAAGCATAGAAGAAAGACTTCCATTCTTTAGAAAAAACTGTCATGTTCCTTTGAGAACATCTCAGAAGAGTTTTTTGTGGCATGGCCACAGACCAAGACCCTCATCTTGCAACAGCTCCTTTCATTGACAGCTCTGTCTATAGCTAAAGAACTCTGGAGTGAGCAGGAGCAAAAAGTTGCAGATTGCTTTGGAAAATGATCACAAAATAAGTTTGATCTATCTTTTAGAGTAACAGAATCACCTACATTGTAGGATATTTACAGCAGATTAAATTTTGGTATAGAAACTACATTTGAAATGTGACTGGGCTTGCACAGTATGCTAACTCAATAGAAGACACTGCTCATTTTGATCACACATCCTAGGAAAAGGCATTACCTGCACAAAGCTGAAGAATGTGTTAAATTATATATCAGGACAAGCTTAAAGCACTGGTTAGGATAGAACATGTCAAATGTAATGGCACTAATCAAGACCAGGAAGATGGGTGCAAAGAGTGATGAATGTGAGAATGAAGACAAGGACAAAGGAAAAAAAGATGAAAGGCACAAAAGGGAGAGGAGGAGGAGGAAGAATATATTCTGATGACAAAAGTTACAAAGCTATTGAGGTCTCAGAGACTTCAACTTTGGTAACAAGTGGTGGTGCCTGCTTGAGATGATAAAACATCAAAGGTTAAAAAGCCCATGCTTCAAGCATTTGCTCAAGAGAAGCAGGATATGATCAAGAAAATGGATATGTTGAAAGAGGTTTGGAACACAGTCTTGAGCAATGTGAATTGTGAGTACAAAGATCTGTGAATATTAGCCACAGCTCATGACTTACACAACTTTGGTAATATGATAGCCAACCTCAAATGCCTCCTAGAGAACACCTGCTATAAGATCTACAGGTTGGCAGGATGGTTGACCACAAATAATACTGGAAGTCCAATCTATAGTGTAAGTATATGCATATATTTACTTCAGATATGCTGATATGATGTTTAAGTTAATATCAGTTATGATCAAATAGTCAAGCCAGGTACAAATTTCCTATATTGTGAGCACAAGCAGGCTCTCAATGAGCTTTTTGTGTCTTGGTCATACTAGATAATTGTAAATTTTCAAGGTTTGTTTGCTCAGATATGTTATTAATTTAAATTGAGCTTTGGCCAAAGTGCCTAAAGCAGACTCAGACACACTCCCATCTCTAGAAGAACAAACAACTACTACTTTAGATTTGATTCTTCAAGAGTTGACTTGCTCTTATTGAATGATGGCCTTATGAATGACTGTGAATCATTATCACAACAATCATTGCTACCTGTACCATCACAACAATGGAATGTGTCTTTAAATAGCAACAACACTAAGACAACTGAGAATGATGAGGTCCTTGTGTATGGTAAAGAGGATTTCAACATTGATCCTTATCTACTTGCACTGTTATGTCCTCCATTTGTTTCTTTTATTCCAACCACTTCTCACAAGTATGCTCAGATATAGAAGCTATCTGGCTACTAGTACCAACTTTTCCACATTTCAACTTATCCATAGCCTCATTCCAAGCTATGATTGCAATGATATAGGAAAGAGAGAGTAATATATCACTGTAGCACTGAGTTTAAGTGAATAACTTGAAGTGCTTGAATGTTCAGGGCTTGATCAAGAAATCACATCAAGTTGCATAATAAGAGATTTATTATATCTGATTTGATTGATTAAGTTAAAACTAAGTTTCAATGCAATCAATGAGAAAGAGTCTAATTGCATGATCATGTGAGTGTTACACTAGGAAAGAACTTGAGTGGAAGTCAACCTTAGGGACTATCCATGACAATACTTTTGGCATAGGACATGTGGTGGGACTACAGTGATGTGAAAGTAGGTTTGATGCTGTCAATGATTGGATCAACTGATCAAACTTTCTATTTACAGTTGTTTGGAGGCTTTTAGCTACACTCAAGCTCATGTAGAACTTCAATAGAAAGTTGTTTTAATATTTTAATGATTTTATTCTAAGCTTGAGATGGTCTCATGCTAAAGAACAGGCTCAACAGTATAATTACTATTCCTAAAGCAACTAATGCACTTGTAAGCCTAAGAATTCTGCTCCCTAGGGAATTCCAAGCTGTGGTACATAGTCTGCCTGCCCTTTTCCTTCAAAATCCTCCTCCTTTTATAGCTCATTGTTGGCATATGGACCAATGTGCTATCCACATGTTTTTTGTAGCTGGTCAGTTATGTTATATGCTGGTCTCCTGGAGCTATCCTTGGCACTTGTCCCAGCTTAGGATTTTGGCTTTCTCCATCTGTTAATTCTTCTTAGTCATTTTGGTGGGACTTAATAGTATCTTTGTGAATTTAAATATTTGTTGTTTCTAGGACATGAATTAGTGGAACATGGTCAAGGAAATTGTGCAGAGGCTTGCTAGCTTTGATGGCTGATCTCAGATTATGATTTGATATTGCCATCTTGGCTTATGCATAGCCACAGGCTCAGCTTTTGTTAGCACATGATTTTTTTCAATCACTTGATTCTGACATATCTGCTTTGGTTTACTTCATCTTTTAGTGTCTTGTGGGTGGCAGTACTTAGTTTTTCAAGGTAGGTCTTTTCTTGTCTACAGTTTTTGATGTTTCTGGCTTATGATTTTCAGCCTCTTTGGTATATAGAATAGAATTTCTTTTGATTTCAGCACTTTCACTGGTCCTCAGTTCTGAGGCCAGTGTATCAACAGCTTCTTTGCTAGCTGGGAACTTTGTTCATCAGTACATATTTCTTCAATACCAGAACCCCTATTTGATCTATGATATCTAATGCCAGCTGTACAGTCCTAACATTCCATGCCCCATAGGCAGAAACATCTCTCTGGATAGAGCTTGGGAATGCAGTCTTCAAACTGGAATTCCATTTTTGGACAGAGTGGAGTAGGTGTAGAAGTTACCTCTATTGATCCAGATAGGAGGGAGATCAGAATCACCAGAGTCTCCAAGGATTATAGAGCTGCAAAATGGTATAAACACTCCACAGTCACCAATATTGTCTTTATAATAAGTAAATTGAAATTACCCAGTAATGCCCAATAGAACACAACATCTAGTTACCTCAGAATCATTTAAACCAAGCTTACAGAAGATAGCATTCCATGTCTTCAACAGCAGTAGTATGACAAGTTCCAGAATATCATCAATGGTCACAAGAAGAATAGCTCCATGCATTCACAAGAAGGATATTGCTTCTTGCAGATGGCACTGGATGCTCATCAACACAATGATAACACTGTCAAAGACATCATGCCCTTGCCTGATCAGGAGGTAATCCAGGAGGATGTAGCATGTGCACTTGTAAGGTCAATTTTTAACCTTACAGATGGTATAGAAAGGTTAGAATATGTATGTTGGGTATACTTAAGACTGTGGTTATGACCATTATTGGGACATATTGTGGTAACATCATGCAGATTGGCAACTGTAATGTGCCAGCAATGTTTCAACAACTGATGATGTCCATATTTTGGGATGTCATTGGGAAGTGGATGCATGTATACTTAAACAGTATATTTGTCTTTTCCAATTCCATTGAAGAACATAAAGAACACCTCAGAGTAGTCTTTGAAAAACTACAACAAACTAAGCTCTACCTCAAGTAGAAGAAGTGTGAGCTGTATGTCAAGCATGTAGAGTGCCTCAGCCATGTTATTGACTTGCAAGATATAGACCCTGACATGGATAAGTTGAATTGTGTCCAGGAGCAGTGTACTTTTAGAACCTACAATGATATCCAGCAATTTGTTAGCTTGTTGAACTACATCAGGAACTTCCTTTCCAATATTTTTGCATCCATAGAACAAGTTGCAATTCACTGGCACCCCATTTACTGATAGTGTTTTGACATGATCAAATGGATCTGTAGTGAAACACCCATCATTAGGCCTATTGATCCTCGACATGAGGATTGTGTATGACCAATATGTGATGCCTCTAAGACAGGCATTAGTGTGATGTATGGACAAGGACTGAGCTGGTGGAAATGTTGGCCAGCTAGATTTATATCCAAAAAGTTTACAAATGCACAGAAAAACTATGGTATGCATGAACTTAAAGCATTGGCCATCCTAGAAACCTTCCTTAAATGGGAGGATAAGCTCCTCAGATACAAGATCTATATTGTCATGGATCATAAGACCCTTGAGTTTTTCAAAATTCAACAAAACTTGTCTCCTTGTTGATGATGATAAATAGATTATGTGTTGAGGTTCAATACTGCCTATGTTAAGGGAGAGCTCAACCAGGTAGCAGACTGTTTATTCCATTACTTTGAGAGTGACTCTCCCAAGAATGTGCACAACATCTACAATTACATATATGCAGATGTGCAAATTGACCAGAGAAGGATGATTTGCTCCCTATGTGCCTATAAGAAATGCAGGTGCAGCTAGATCAGATCTATGCACCCTGAAATGTGCTTGTATGTTGAAACTGGTGGTTGCAGGATTGTCACAAACTTTGTGATGAAAAATTGCAAATTCTTGCCAGCAGTGATGGCAGCAAGATTGGATCATTCTAACTGCCAAAGTTCACAGATGACTCTGGGGAAGCTGGAGAGATAATGTTGGGAGTGGTCATACTACAGCTGACCCTGTCACTTTAATGCATCATTTTGTGTAATCACAGTAGAAATGTAATGCATAATCCTCTGT